AAGGTCTGAACTTCCTGTTTCTTTAAGTCTAAGTTCGGCAAGGAACAGAGTATCGTTCACCTGAGACTTCCGTATGAAACTGAGCTGTATCGCCCATAAGTCAAAAATTATGAAAAATCTGTCCGACACACGCTTCCGCTAGTTGATTGGGCAAGTGAAACGATAAGAAATTTTATCTGTTGCCTCAAACGACGACTCGTGCCCGATCAGAGTTAAGTCGGAGGACCGCCTACGCCGAGAATGGAGTAACCATTTCCATACAAATCCACCTGCACTTTGCCTCAAGTTAATACGGTGCTGAGGTACGGCATGCGACAGTTGTTCTGACTAAGGCAGAACGACGGTTGACTTGTACGTAGGAGCTGTACGTGTTGAATGTCAGGGTTGCTAATCGAATGAATCCATTCTCGTTTAAGCGCCAGTAACCTCAGTGGATATGGAAATTGAGGAAAAAATGTTGATCCTCTCAGACGATCTGACTGAGTATCAGCTATTTACTTCGGTCCATCAGTTTATCACTGGACACACCGAAACGCCTTAGCCATAGATCAGGGGCTCAGACACATGCAGATGCAAGGTAGAGGAAAATCTGTTTTTAGAGAGGAAACTTTGCGTTGACAAACTAAATATGAATGCAAGTGTAAGTGAAGATGCACATGCTAACAAACGCTTTACGAGATCAATCACGCTTCATGTCGTGTGCCTAGGATCTATCGTACAGTCGCAGCTTTAGCATCTATCCAGCACAAAGGGTTTACAGTAAGCAATGGCGCACCTTGTCCTTCGTTCAGTGAGACGACGGCGTAAGTGCATACGAATCTGTACAGCTCTACCGTAGCGGATTTTGCACGCCTTGACCTTCTACATCGCACGGAGATATGATCTGTCAATCATAGCCAAAATCTTCCATTGTAGGGGGTTTTGCCTATGAGCGTGCTCAAAAATCGGTGGCGTGGTACAAACGTTTCCTGGCAGATTTACGAACCTCCTCCCAAACTTCTTCCCTTAGCGGTATTAATATTTGTGCCTCTCAGCCTTGGATCTATGGACTGATATGATTTAACAGATTTTGCAACGCTTCTTTCACGACGACGGCAGCCAACAGCGAAAGTCGTGAAAATTCGTTAACTTCTGTCCTCTCGTTCCGTTCCATTCCGGTTTTACAGGAACGAGGCATTTTAGCGCAAGCGCCGAAAACAAAGCTTGTAACCAGCTTCGGTGCCATAAAAAGTTCGCTACTCATTATCGACCAAAGTTGCCGTACGGTAAGCGAACAAGTAGTTAGGCGAGTGAAAACCACGCGTCTTGGAAAGTAGCTTTTTCCCTCCTCTCGTGAGATTTTATCTTCTGAGGTTGATCACGTATCGGCTGGAATCTTACAGACACCGACGTTTAAATCAACCGGCCGGCTCGGCACGTTACCTCAGTTACTCGTTCCGCGAACGACTGCATTTTGACATGTTTCGATACGGAGGCAAATGAATGCTTGTAAGATGATTTGCGGTTCTCGAGAGTTTTCGGATAAGCATACATGCATTTATAGGGTTCGTATACAATGCTACACTCACGTATACGTACCTGACTCGATTCCTCGACTCTTCCCCACCAAAATTTCCATAAATGGAATATGTTTCTGACGCTTATCCTCATTTATTGCCGGAAGTTGCTATTAGAGTTGAACGACGTGTTCCTCTCTTCCATTCACAACCGATGCTACATCGATGTTTAACACCATGAGAGCTATATCTTGAGACTGGGTCGTTGTTTGAGTCACGGTTTTGACTGGCCGACAGTTTCTGAGTTAACGATCTGTCCTT